CCCTGCACACTGGGTGGCAGCCACATCAGCCTCCAGGGGTGGCACTGAGCCCTGAGCAGCCCCTCGGTGCTTCCCTGGCACAGCTCTGGCCTTGCAGCTGGGCCAGGGCCTCTTGGTGCTGCTGGGGGATGTAGTTACCCTGCTGTACAACCATAACAGAGGCAGGGCTGAGTGTTTTGAAACAGATAGCACTGCAGCTGTCTGTGAGCTATTACTGCTGCTGGGTTCCAGTGAGCCAGCCAGGCTTGTGGGGAGAGCTGGTGGCTGCTGCTGGACCAGATGAGCGAGCTGGAGGGGGAGAAGCTTCTCCTCAGGGGCTGAGATAGGAACAGCAATCTTTAACTGCAGCTGGAGAGCCACTGCTTTCAGTGTAGCTGTGTTAATAGACCTGAGGAAAACAACCTTCCTGTGGAGAAAAGGAGATGTTAGCCAGGGCAGAGGTGTTGAATCTGTTAGAGGGAACTCCATTATCATCCAGGGAGCAGCTGGATGAGCTGCCAGGGGCAGGGTGGGGAGGCAGCCCGTGGGGAGAAAACTCACTTGGCAGCTTTTTGCCTTCAGCCCAGAGACAAGGTGCTGAGCCCTCAGTCCTCAGCACAGCCCCAGCCTGTGCTGCACCCACGGCTCAGTCTCCTCACGTGGGCAGCTCTGGGTGTTGTGTCAGCCACGGGGAGGGTTAAAATGGGGAAGGATTTTGGTAATAATGTCAGGAAATGAGTGGTGTGAAGGTGGGCTACCTGCTGTGGCTGCTGTGCAAGCACAGGCACTGTGCTGTGACTAGCTGGAGTGTGATATCAGGTCTCTGGTGCTGGGCACGTCACCTGGGATCTGTTAGAAGGTGACTCATACCCTCCAGGAAGGTGGAGAGGGGGAAGGAGGGGAAACAGGCAGCAGATGGGGATGGGGAAATAGTGTTCTCATTGTATCGATTTCCTCCTCTGGTTTATTTTTTGTGGGTTGTGTTTCAGGTGTATGAAACAGGATTATCAGCAGGAGTTGGTCCTGAAAAAATCCAGGTGAGGAGTGACGCAGGGTCCCTTCCTGCCCTGTTTCAGGAAGGATGCCCTTTTCCAGAGAGAACCCAGCCAAGTCAAGACAAAATGCAAGTTGGGAGTGAAATTTCTCACTGCTGTTTTGTGCTTAGGAACTTCTGCCTCAGTTCAGGAGGAGAGGGTGAGAAAGAGAGAGCTTGTTAGGAGGTGGATTACAGCTACCTGAAAGGAGGTTGTAGTGAGGTGGGTGTAGGTCTCTCCTACCAAGTGACTGCTGCTAGGGTGAGAGGCAATGGGCTGAAGTTGCTCCAGGGGAGGTGTAACCAGCCAGTAAAGCCACACTGAGTTTATATAATGCATGGAACTGGGGTCACATGCTGGACACGTGGCTCGTTCCTGTGTCCCCAGCAGATCTGCCTCCTGTGTGGTTCCCTGAAGTAGCCCTTGGGTTTGGAGACAGGTAGTAGAAGACCAGATAAAATGCAGCTTTAATTTCTCTCTGCCACTGGGCCTGTAGATTGAGGGTGTCTTCAAAAATCCTGCATGAAGCAGTCTGCTGTTTTTGATAACAGAAAGTGAACACCAGAATGCATGATGCAAATAATTGCTCTTTTTTTTCCCCCCCTCCTTGTAGCAAGCAGTCTCCCCAGGGGTGTTAGAGGAGGAGGGCACACTCACCATGGCTGCAGAGCTGGATTTCTCCCCACCTGAGATCCCTGAGCCCACCTTCATGGAGAACCTGCTGCGCTACGGCCTCTTCTTTGGAGCCATCTTCCAGCTGATCTGTGTGCTGGCCATAATCCTGCCCGTTCCCAAGTCCCAGAAGACAGTAAGCAGAGCCCTTTAATTCCAATATATGTGGGCAGAGTGGGAGAAAACAAGATGGGAAGGAACTGTGAGTAGCTAATGGAGATGCAGTGATCTGCCCCTGGGATTGGTGACAGTTTCATTGCTCCCCTTCCATTCCTTCTTTCCAGCTTTTGTCTCATGATTTACTCCCAGATCAGAAAGTCAGGAATGAATGAATACCTGAGCCAGGGTCTTTCTGGATCTCAGTGAAAAAAGGGACCTGCAGCATGAGCAAGGTGTGCTGGGTGTCTGTATTGTGCATGGTCCTGACCCTGTATTGTTGTCCTGCTGCTGATTTGCTCTATTAATTGCCAGGCAGTGTCCCCTTTGTAGGGCCTGGCTTGCAGGAAAGGGCTTTGGGCTCTAGTTTGTGTGCAGTTTTTGGAAACAAGATAACAGGTGAAATTTCTACTGCAATAGGAAGGCAGTTTTCAGTGCAGACACCCAGTCCTAAGCCAGTGGAAAGTCCTGTGATGCTGTTAGTACAGGAGAAGGTTTAGTGGTCATGGGAGTGCTGGGTTAACAGTTGGACCTGATGGTCTTAGAGGTCTTTTCCAACCTAAATGATTCTATGAAAGGCTGAGGTGAGCTACAGGGCTCCAGTTCCACATGTGCCTGGTGGCACTTGTGGTGCTGGGGCAGATACTTCAGTGCTGGTGATGAGGGTGCAAGTTTGGTGCTGTGATAGAGGTTTTCATAGAGTCATGGACTGGTTTGGGTTGGAAGGGACCTTTCAAGGTCATCTTGTCCAACCCCCTGCAGGGAGCAGGGACATCCCCAACCAGAGCAGGGTGCTCAGAGCCCCATCCAACCTCACCTGGGATGTTCCCAGGGAAGGGGCAGCGACCACCTCTCTGTGTGTGGTGTGCTTTCAGTAACAGCTCAACACAGGAAGTTTTGTTTTTAGGCCATTGCCATGTTTGCTCCCCCCTTGAGCAGAGCAAGCATGAAAACATTCATCCTCTGTGGGGAAGGAGGTGCCTGAGGGTGAGGTACAGTGTGAAGGATACAGTTTGTGACCCAACTCTAGCCATTTCTCCATATATATACTGTCCTCTTGATTTACTGTCCATAAGACTCATTTACAAGACTGTAAACACCAGAGCCTGCCCCTCCAGATCTTGGTGAGTTTGGGTAAGCTATTTAGAAGCTTCAGGCTTTGAAGCCTACCTCAGTTTGAACATTAGAAGGCAGCAGTGTTCCCTTGATGGCAGCAGCACTCTGCAGCCCGGAGCCATCGCTGCGTGGGGCTCCGTTTCTCCAGAGCCTGCCAGCTCTGTGTGCCAATTACAGGCTTTGGAAAGCCAGCCAAGCCTCCTTCCTCAGAAAGCCACCCAGATGTGGACTGCAGCAGCCCAGTATCTGGAGAGAGAGAGGCGTTGGATCCCAGCTCCTTGATGAAAAGGCTGCTGTCAGATGCTCACCTCCCCCTCCGTCATCTGGAGAGCTCAGAAGTGGCACGTCTGGCTCAGCCCTTCTCCCGGGTGTCCTTTTCCAGTTGGCAGGCTCTGACTGCTAGAAACCAAGATGCTAAAGCAATATTTAGACTCCAACACGTTTAATGAAAGGAGGCAATCTGCATGTGTGTGCTCTCAGCTGAGACTGGTGCTGCTCCCTGGGGTTTCCACCAGATAACCAGACCTTGTTTCCCATGCCTCAGATGTTATCTGCCATCTCCCCTGGAGGAAACAAGCAGCATACCTAAGCATTCCTCCCTAGGTTTTTAGGCTTGGTTTAGAGGCTTTGAACTTTGCATTCTTACTACTGTTTTGGGGAGTGTTTTTTTGTCTTGCACATGATCCTGGTTAACACTTGGCAGAAATACCTGCTGACTGTTTCCATGGGCCCTGGTGATTAGATGGCATTTTCTCCTTTGCCTCATTTGAATAGTTTTCATTTAGTGTTGATTTTCTTCCTGCCTTTAAAGTTGGTTTTGTTTTTCTTCTCTCTTCCAAAGCTTGTTTTAGACACTTAAGCTTTTAACAGCTTCTCTGGTAACAAGCTGTTTCTGTGCCTAAACTCACACTCGTCCAAAAGCACAGGCAGAAGAAGCAGAGATGGTGCTGCTCAAGTCTCATCACACGTGGACTCAGTTAGATAAGTTCCAAAAGAGACACTCAGTACTTGCTTCCTTTGGCTTTTACTCAGATTCCCAAAGTGAGCTGTCAGCAAACTGTAAAAAACCAAAAAGTTACTGACTATTTCTTAATTGATTCTTGTAGGACTCGGACAGTTTTGAGCCCAAGAATTCAGAGGTGGTGAAGAAGCCAAAAGCAACTGCTCCACAGATAAGCAAGAAGCCCAAGAAAGAGACCAAAAAGAAACGATAAAGGCATGAGCCATGTGCCTCAGAAGACAAAATCATCACCTATAATCCTGCTTCTGTGGAGATGACATCAGAGACAACCAACTGTCTGTAATGATTTCCAGGCATTGCCATGCTTTACCTTTTGGGGACGGGGGAGGAGGAAGGGGTGGGGTTCTGCAGTAGATTTCTCACAAGCAAAGAGGACTTCGTGCTTCCAGGACTTCATTTGACACACTGAGTGTGTCAGTCACTGTCAAAATGAGCTCTGTCCCTTCTGAGGGGCACAGAGACCTCTTGTCCTGACCCCTCCACGCCGGCGAGGATCTGTGGTGAAGTCCCTGCAGAAGGTGGAGTGTGGGTTTGCCACTTTGGGTGCTGGTTTATGTTGTATTTTTTGAAGGCAGAGGGATCAAATGGATCAAGGAGACCACACTACCCAGCTTTGTATTCATCTCTGTTGCCATCCAGTCTGAAATACATAGCTGCATTTTATGGCTTGATAATGTCTTTGGCATATTCTTTAATTCTTTAGGTAATAACTCCTGTGATTCCAGACTGCTGCAGATGAAAGCTTTCATTTCCCCAGAGTCACTACCTCTTCCTTACTCCCCACCCAGGCACTTTCCCTTTCTGTTCCCAGCCCTGAAAGCAACCATGCTGTGGGGAACTGAGGCCTGTGGTGGGGACTGCAAGAGCCAGGGAAGAGTTTGGTTCAGGAAGCTGCAGGGTTTAGTGCCTGTGCTGATGGGACGTCCTTGGGCACTTGGGAAGACGGAGCAGCTTTTCACCCAATGTTCAGTACCCAGAGGTGTCTATCACCCCACAGGGCCTGGCTGCCCTGTCAGTCCATCCTCAGGTCAGCAGCAGAGTCCCAACCACGTGCTCCCTTTCAGCATGGCTGGGGTTGTTGCATTTGCAAACTCCCCCCCTGGCCTTACCTGCTGGAGTCTGCTGCGTCTCCTCTCCCCAAAGCCAAATGGGATCTCAGCCCGAGGAGATGTGGTGTTTAAGATGCAAGGGGTGGCAGGCTGGCTGTGTAGCATGACTGTATGGCAAGAGACAGATACACTGTGTTCCTTCAGGCTCTCCAGGCCCAGGGACAAGCTGGGATTAGATTTAAATATGGCTAGACAGGGCTGGAAAGAGATAGGTGGTGACGTAGCCACAGTCTCCGTAGGGCAGCCCCAGCTTCCTGATGCCAGCTCACATCTTGGTTTGTTTGATCAGGAATGAGTCAATGGGAGGAGAAACCTGCTCCTTGAGGCGCACCCAGGGTTCAGAGTGGCTTTGAAGGGGAGGGTTCTCTCTGGCAGGGCTGCAAGTCTCAGATCCTTTTTGCATAGGCAGGCTCCCAGCCTGGGCTCACGAACGCCTGGCGAGCCCGGCTGTGCTGGCAGCCTTGTGCTGGGAGTCCTGCAAGAGGAGCTGAACAACACCTTTAGAGAACCCACCAGTGCTGAGAACAGCCACGTTCTGCTCCCTCCTTTTGGGGGGTGAGACAGAGGGATCCCAGTACCAGCTTGATTCTAACCTCTCACTGCTTCCCCGTCCAGGCTCTCTGCTGCTCTTAGAACACTGACGCCCTGTTGCTTAAAATCCAGCTTGGGAGTTCTGCTTTAAATTCAGCATTTCCTTTTTTTAAGGCAATACAAGGAGGACAGAACAAAGCACAGGAGACACAAACCCTCTGAAGTCGCTTTGAGTTCTCAGTACAAAGAAAGGTGACAACATTTCCCACGCAGATAACAAAGAGCAATATTGTGCTGTGGGGTTTCCACTGCAGCCCCGTGTGCCTGCCCGTGCTCTGCAGGGGAAAGGAGAGCATTGCCACTGCCCCAGGTAGGTCCTGCAGATCACTGCTGCCTCTTTCACAAATGAGGGTGCTGGAAGGTTTATCTAACAACTCTGGCTTTCTGCAGGTGGCCTAAAGGAGGGGGGTTGAATCATAGAATCATAGGTTGGAAGAGACCTCCAAGATCATCAGGGCCAACCATCAAGCCAACACGACTAAGTCCTCTGCAAAAATAATCAGAAAAACAGAATCTTGCTCCATAGAAATCATGGATATTGGGGTTTGGTTTTGTTGGGGGGGAAGAGGGATGAAGAGAACTTTCCCAGTCTGTTCCTACCAGCTTGTTACCTGTTTGAATGCTCTTGTTGGCTGATTAGAGATTACAGATATCCCATTTATTTTAATTTCTCTTGAAACGTGTCATAAATACAATCAGAATCTTTGTTTCAAAAGAAATCTCTTTTTCAAGTCGTGCTGCCTCTTTCCATGCATTCATTGTGAAAGCTGCCAGAACTCTCAGACTATAGGAACACAGGGACATAAATAACCTATTCATAAAAATGATCCATGAATGGAAAGCCTTTCAGATCCTTTAATCTGTGAGAAATTGCTTCGTTAATACTGTCAGGCACATGTGTGCATCTGTATCTGTTTGACTTGGAAGCAGCAAACTATCTCCCAGTGCAGCTTCACCTTCCTGGAAGGAAGGAGGAAACAGAGCAATGATAAATTAATTTGCCTCTCAGGAGAAATTTTGGCTCTGAGAACCCCCAATATAATAAAGGCATCACTTGTTAGTGGTGCAAGCAGGGGATTAGATGTGGATTCTGCAGGCTGGTAATGGGGATTTTTGGTAGCCCCTCTGTGTGTGATGGCAGCTCAGGTGTACCTGGCTGAGTGTGGGGCTGTGGTAAGACTGGTGGGGTAGCCAGGCTCTGGCAAGTGTCTCTTAGTTCCCTCACCAGAAAACCAAAACAGAGAAGGACTCATGTGGTGACTCCTTTAATTCCCGAGCGCTTTCTCCAGGCTGTTTTGTAATTAACATCCCAAAGGGAGCTGGAGTCACTTTTATTCATTAAGTCCCTTTTATTGAAAGGGAGGTTTTCAAAGGTCTGCCTCCAGATACCAGCCAGCACCTTGGTGAACAACACCTTGCTCTGCCCCCCAAAGCCCAGGAGCTGGGCTCAGAGCTGCGTTTCCTCTGCTCAAAGCTCCTCTTCCCTCACCAGGCCAAGCCTCAGCTCTGAAGAAACGTGGCTGGGAGTTGGGAATTCCTTGCTTTGTTTTTAATCCTGTTCAAGCAGCTCTTCCTCTCCCACCACACTCATCTGGAGAGCTGTGGCCATCGCCGTCCCCTTGAGCTGTCCCACGCTCACAATGCCTCCTTGTGCTCCTCCAGTGCCAGCTCCACAATCCCTTGAGACTGGCTAATAAGTAGCTCGTGACTGGAGTTCCAGTTCACATAGTTCAATTAAATCCCTGTTAATCTTGTTCAGACCTAATTTACTTTCATTCTCATACACACGCTTTTCTCTGCTTCATAGAGATCCTAGCGAGGTTCCCTCCTGACAGGGACTGAAGAGCCTGAGGCCATCTTGGAAGAGGCTGGATGTTTGCAGAGCAGCCCCCGTGCTGAGTCAATCAGCTCAGCTTAGTTCCCAGCCTGCCAGGAAGAATGTGACAATATTGCTTCAGAGCCTGGATTTCAGGCAGGGGCACGGCGGGATGTGACGATGCTCGGGGAGGAGATGGGGAAGCTGGAGAGGGGAGGACCTGCTCCTTC